ATGATTATTCTACACTATCACGCTCATATTTATAAAACTTAGTGCCTCTGTGAAAGGTAAGGATGACTACTGCGTTTGTGGTGCAATCAGAACATTGCGTGCGTTGAAGTTGTTTTAACGCCAACCAAAGATGCCTTTTAAAAAACAAGTTTACATCCTATTCTTATGCAGGCCAGTGCTGTGTGTGAGGTAATTTAAGGTGGTTCTGACAAGTGTCGTTGGCATCTGGTCACATGGGCGGCAAGCCACACCCATCCGGTCACATGGGTGGCAAGCCACTCCCATCTGGTCACATGGGTGGCAAGCCACTCCCACAAAGGAGACCACACCCACAGAGTAGGTTCAAACAATTTTTGAAACCTACCACTGCTCCAGAGCCTTTATAGAAGCCTGGAGAGGGTGAAAACAGCCTCCCCCGCCCGCTCTGGAGGCGCACTGGAGGCTTCAGGGACCTTCAGGAGGCTTCTCTGAAGCCTCTGGAGGACTAAAAAGGACCTATGAGCAAACCGGAGTCACTTCCGGTTTGCTCAGGGGATCGGTTTAAGCCTTCCGGAGGCTTCAGGGAAGCCTCCTGAAGGTCCCTGAAGCCTCCAGAGGGCTTAAACCGATCCTCAGAGCAGGGTGGGGGAGGGAGCAAAATGCATTTGGGGGGGTGGGAGGCAGGGTCTTATCTTAGTGTATATAAGTCCTGCAGAATCTTAACTATATAGCATGATGTGTAATTTAGAACTAATATTACCTGCAATTCTGCATTGAGGGTGGAGGCTGGGAATAATAAAGTGACGGTTGTTGCTGGGGGAGCATACATGCCAGTGCTTCTCCAAGCTTCCTCGCCTACAAAGCAAAGTATAATTTTTTTCAGATTCTTATATTTGAATACATAAGATGACTGAAAAGTCTCCATTCTTGAGATTTGATTCCTGTAGCTGTGCCAAGAATATGCAAAATACTCTTTGTGTCGTCAAAATGAAGGGATGTCCCCTCCGAAATCAACTCTAACTTCAAAATAGCATAACTAATTTGGCAGTTTGGATCTTTTTGTAGATTTAGCTAACGTTTTATCCTTCAATCAAACAGCTTTTCTCCATTAATTTACATGCTAGTCCTCCTCGTGAATAATCTAGTGTTGGAAGATTTGAAACAGTACTGAATATTGCTTGATTAAAAAAAGAATGTCCTGCACACCTGGGTCATAACCCTGAAATAATAACCATTAAATTCAAAACTAAGAACAACATTTCCTACCTGTGTTGCTTCCGTTGATTTGAATGTTTTGAGGAGGTGCTGTAGGATAAGAATTTGGATCATTTGGCATCAGGCTGGGTACTAAGGCTTGAAACTCTGGCAGAACGTTATAGAGCACAGAAGCTATTTGAAGTAAGATGGCGTGGTCTGTATTGGCGTGGATTGACCTGTGCACACTGACCTCAGGAATCCCATTAATTTGAACCAACTCTACAACTTCTTCATGAACCGAAGAGAAAGAACGGGAGTTCATAGCTGGGATCTCAAGGAATATCGCAATGTCTTGCGCCAACTTCTGGAACCACAAGGAATACGGTGGTTGTAGAATCTGCTCGTTTCGAATATGTTCCTTGAACTTCAAGAATGCTTTCCGGAAATGATAAGTGGAAGCTACTTCGCTGGCCTCTCCAGCGGGATAGTTGGTTTCAGATACTTCAAGGAATTTTCCAACAATCCCAATCCCAAACTTATTCAGGATCTTATTTCCTGGATATTCTGCAATAGCACTGGAGTCAGGATTCACAGAAGCCCAATGCCAAGACTGACCCCCAATTAGGAGTCCTCCTCCTTCAGAGACAAATTCCTGGATCCTTTCCACCGCTGTGACATCGTAGACCTTACAACAGTATATGCCCAGACCTTTCTTAAAGTTGGTTAGCTCACAGGGAAATATGGTTTGATTTAACATGGAGTAAAGTTCCGGTAAACTGTATGCAACGCCCACCTTTCTTACCCTTCCAGCAGAAAGCCAAGTGATGGCATTGAAGAAGAAAATGATCATGGATGACATCGTAAGGAAGCCTTCACGAGAGAAGACTATAATGCGTCCTCGGCCATAGTAGGCAGCTGCCAGGAAGGCGTCGTAGGTATCACTTATGCCAACTGGAAATGCCAAGGCTCCATGGATAAGCAAGGGAGATGGTATCATTAGACCCCTGAAGTTGAATCTCTCCACTCCATTCAAAAGATCCGTGAGATCCCTTTCTATGTCTAATCCATGCCTTTAAAAAAAAAAAACCAGTAGTTAATTTGTAATATTTTCCACGAGTAAGATAGTCTTCATCGTGACCCGTCAAAACCGCGGAGGACAAAATCGCGCTCGACGAAAGCGCGCATCTGACGTCATCACAGCG